CTGTCTGGCCCTAGGAACCGCTGGTGGGAGCTGGAGTGTGGGCAGGGGTGCCAGGGCGGGCAGAGCCTGCAGCGCTGTTGGCAGGTGAGAGGTGACCGTGTCTCCTCCGTGCCCCCATCCCCGTGGACTGACTGGTTCAGGCTGTATGTGCAGCTTGACACCCCAGGGGAGGGATGTGGTGTGGTTTCTCCCAAGGCTGGGGATTTGGGCTGTTGGGCAGCCTGGAATTTTCTGCAGCATTAGAGCCATGCGTGTGGTATGTGCCCGCTTCAGTAGCTTAAGAGGTTGCAGGCACTCAGGAACGACTGGTTGCTTGCTCTGAAATACAATGTCATCCGTGGTGCCAGTTTTTGATGTGGTAGGAGCATGTGATGTATCTGCAGAACCAGACTGAGGCAGCCTGTTAAAACTCTGCAGCGGTGACTCTTGTCACTACTGGCCTGGTTTGAACCGGTGGTTTGAATTAGAGGTTTGTGTCCATTACAAATTTAAGTGATCTTTCCCCCTTCTCTCCCCAGAGGTTTGTTTTTTGAACATGAACGTGGTGTCCAGAAGTCATAAAATATAAATCAGGTGTCATTGTCTAAATAGTTGTGACATTCAGCTTGCAAATAGATCTGTGTTCACAATACTTTAATCACAGTGGCTTTGACTACTGGGAGTAAGACTTTGTTTTCTGGATGGCAAGGAAAAAGCTATGGTCTGACTTGTCTTGGCTTTTTAATCCTGGTTACTGCTATCTGATATGATCAATATGTATTGGTCATTATGTGATCAAATTGTGAGTGGCTGATGTACTTTATGCTTAGCTTTCTAAGGCAGAGTTTTTAACATATTAGTATCTGATTCTGAGTTTGTTTGCTCAGCCCTTCCTCAGTACAGTACAGTCAGTAATAAGGAATGCTCTTGCTTCCCTTTCCCTTTTTCCCCTCCCTTTTCTGTTCCCTGCCCTCAGAATGAATGAAATGAACTTGAGTCCTGTAGGGATGGACCAGCTGACCTCGTCCTCTGTGAGCAATGCCCTGCCGGTCTCGGGGAGTCACTTGGGGTTGGCAGCGTCACCCACTCACAACGCCATACCAGCACCAGGTAACGGGGGGAGCTCCCACAGAGGGTACTGCAGCTCGTGCTCGGTGTTTGACTGGCACACCAGTGTTCATAACTAGGTAGCAAGTGTTTGCTCTGAGAGCAAGTCATGTCTTTGTAGCAGGAAATGAGGTGGTATGGAAAAGGGTAGAGCATAAGACATTGGTGGGCAAAGCAAAAGGGATGTGTGCTTACCAGACTTATGCCTTAATGGGAGTCTCGTTTCTGTTCTAATGGGGTGGTTTGCACTGTGGGTGGGTAGTAGTGTAATCCTTTGAAATATAAGCTGTCCCTGTGTATGCCTGTCTTCTGCCAGGTGAAAGTAATGATTTTTCACCTGTAAAGCAGAACTGGTTTCCTAGCTCTTTTCTTTAGGGGGCTACAGAGGCAAAAATCCATTACAGCTGTGAAGTAGAGAGAGTCCCTACAAAATGTATCAAAAAAAGATCTAGTCACAGTCAGGCATGTCCCTTGGTGTTGAGATAATTGTGATCCTTTCTTTGAAGCTTGCCACCTTACTTTGACAGTACCATACTGTACTTCCATAGGGAGCTCCTGAGGAATTAGTAACCTCTTTGCTAGCTTGAGTGTTTGTAAACTCAAGTACTTCCACTGAATTTAAATGGGCATTTTCTTTTGCAGGCTTGCCTGTTGCAATTCCAAACTTGGGCCCCTCCTTGAGTTCCTTGCCCTCTGCTCTGTCTCTGATGCTCCCAATGGGTATTGGGGATCGAGGAGTGATGTGTGGTATACCAGAGAGAAACTACACCCTACCTCCACCACCATACCCTCACCTGGAGAGCAGCTATTTCAGACACATACTACCTGGTAAGTAGTGTGGTACTGATAGATGGAAAGAGCGATATATATTAAATTAAGATCTACCTGTTTCTGTCCTGAAACATGTGGGACTGGCTGTTTTGCAGAGCTGTAAATTCCCTGGGTTTGTCTGGAGTCTGTTGTGTCATTTACATGCCTTTATTTTCAGGTCTGATATTGCTATGCATGTGTATGAAGAGAATTGTAGGTAATTTTCTACTTAAACCTAACCTCTTATCACTCCTCCTGCTGCTTTGTTTTAAATATTAACAGAAAACAAAGCATGCCTGTTTTGTACCTCAGATGGCTTGCAGTTTGGAAGCTGTTTCTTTTTTTTTTTCCTCCTGTAGTCTGAAGCCATACTTAATATGTGCATAATAGTAGGTTGCAGTAGTTCAGAGGTCAAAAAGTGCAAGCCATCAGCTGAGGAGCTTGGGCTCTTTCCCACCCATTTAGCCTATTACATAGTTTTCTTCATTTTTAGTCAAGGTTGATTTTCAAAGGCCTAACATGCTGATTTCTATCACGAGTCCTGTCTCACATGTGTTTCAGAGTATAAATGTAGAATTTTATATGTTAATATATGAAGACACAGAAATTTGAGCTTTAAATGTAATCCTTGGTTTGTGGCTAAGATTGACAGGGTGGAAGGGGGTAGATAAATGTTTATCCTCTTCAAGGTCACCCAGTGAGTGTTGTTAGTTCGGCCTAGGTTAGGAAAAGAAATACATCAGCCCAGATCTCATCCAGCTACCTGCTGACTAGTGGCTGAGCTCACCAGCTGTTTAGGAGTAACCTTTCCTACTGCATTACACACCTGCCTGTTCTGTGGGGGAAGAGGAGAAGAG